CCACTACTGAGCATGTGTGTCAAGGACAGAAAGGCAGATGTGGCAGTGGAAGGTGTCAAAACAGTTTGGAGAGAAAAACAAAGTAAAGAACAAAAAAAAAAACAAAAAAAAAAACGATTAATCGATTATTAAATTAGTCATTGATTATTTTAATAGTCGATTAGTCGTCGACTAATCATGGCAGCCCTATACACAAGTTAAAAAAGCCAGAATTAGCCAAATGGATATTTTTCATCTGTAGTCCCCAAAAGCAGTATGATACAAGAATAAAACACAGTAATAACACACAATAAACAAAAGCAGGAAATTAAATTAATCATAAAAAARGAACACAATAACCCTCTTTAAAATACCTTTTGTTTTTCTACTTTATTTGCATAATTTAGACGGTTTAAAATAGTAATAAAGAATGAGCTTTAAAAGAACAAAGTTTAGGTGAAATGAGTTCAAAACGACTCGGTTACAATTAGCAAAAGAGTTGCTAAAAGCTAAAATTGCAGGAAGTTTTTCAARGATCTGAAGAGATCTCAGTGCATTGAGAAAATTTGTAAATAAAGTTAAATCATTAAAGTGTAAAATTTACAGAAATAACTGAAAAAGCTGAAAGTTTTCGTCTGACGTCAGCTGTGGGTCCATAATAAAACAAACAGCCTAAAGGGTTAATCGTGCTAAAACTCTGTTGTTTATTTAGATAAAGACAAATAAAAGATGTGATTTTGCGATGACTCAGCAACCTTCACTGCCGATTATCTGTCAGTGCAGCTGTAATCTTTATTTTCTGCTTTTAATTTGAAAACAGGCTCAACTAAACAGACTAATTATCTTATACTCAGTRTAAAACTGCTTCATCTGTTGTTTATTTATGTTCGTGATGCAAATTATAATTCAAGATAAGTGCCACAATTTGTTTTGTGCTTTGAAAYGGACTGTTAGAAAATGATTTTCTTTACGAAAGGGTGCCTGAGAGAATATTAAAACTTCATCTAGGATTATTGAAAAGAAATGTTTAATTTATAGTAAATTATAAATAGTAAGGATTTGTTTTGAGTTATTCTTAAACCCAAAATAATTTAAAGCATCTGRTTACATTTAAAGACTCTTGTTTTGCAGCATAATGCACATTAAAATACTGACTCAACTTATTAAAATCTGAACTAGAGTAACAAGTTAACTTAAAACAACTAACTTAATGTAAACATCATTTTAATGTGATATAATTAAGTTTATTTGTGTGTTTTCTACGTCATAGTCAATGGTTCAGAGTCATCCTTTCTGTTCCTGTTTTTTTTCTTTAGTGCAGATGAGCAWCTTTTAAGTTTTCACCCAGAAAATGCCAAATATTTGATTTTCTGCTGAGTCTGGTGTTCTGCAGATCCTATGAGTTCAGTTAAATAAAATGTTTCAGACACGCAGACAGATTTTATCAGCATCAAGACGACACATTTGATTTGTGTACTCACTGGAACAGATACTGATTAGAACTTAAACATTATAAAAACACATTTCTTCYATTTAGAACAAGGWGACTCTACATCCCCTCTGACTGGATGAAATCAAATATGATAAACAGTTGCAAAATTTTAAAATAAATAAAAATAACAGATTTTTTCCCCCAACTTGTTTAACTTCATGATGGAACAAACTTTTCACTTGAAATGCAAACTGCAGCACATTCTGTTCTGAACATTTTTGTACAATTATGACAGTAAAACACTTGTATTGGGCCCAGTACCAGTACCAGTATAAGGATCGGTACTGATTTTAAACTTGAAAAATCCAACTTATCGTGGCTGTAAACAATGCAGCTCATTTTATTGTTGTTTTTCTTCATAGCTGGTGTTGAATTCAGTAGCAACAAAGAAAAAATACGGCTCCAGAGGAAATGACTCAGATCAGCTTCATGACACTGAAATTATCTGCCGGCCCTGGGGTGGGGTGGATTGTTTCCTGTATTACTGCGCTTGTTGGGAGATCCTCTTGTGTGTGTGTGTGTGTGTGTGTGTGCGTGTGTGCGCGCAGATGCAATCTCCACCCCCACCCCCCTCGTCGTGTGGTGTGTATTTTTTTCTCCTTAAATAGTAGTTTTGTGTGAGGTCAGTCCTTTAATGGGGAAGTGCTGATCAGCTGAGCCGGAGGACGACGGCGCGAGCAGGAAGAGAGGTTCTGAGTTCACAGAAGGTGAACGCAAACCGGGTCAGAGTCCGGTTTTCATACAGAACGTTCAGGAATGCACAGCTGCTGACGGATGGATGGTTTCCTTATGGTTCCATGTAACAAATAGGATCGTTTATCTATTTATTTATTTATTTTTGTCTAATGACTTCCTCACATTAACCCCCCAGGTCAAACATCCACAAAGTGACACTAAAGTATGAAATCTTATCAGGTTAAAAAGAACATATTGATATAAATTAAATGAACGTTGCATAAACAAACAATCCACTCCAGATTGAATATGTAAAATAAGTGATTTTTATCAATAATAGTTAGAATTATGATCYGTCTCTAACATCTCTGATGACTTTCAGCTAAGTTCTGGTCTCTTGTTCCTGACCATATATGCTCTTGTTTGTTCTATTTTTCTTTGTATTTAAAGAACAGAGTTCACAGAACAGGAAGTTGAAGCTCGAGGGCATTTAATCTGTCATCTGAATGTCTGCTGCCTACATCTGAATCTTCTAAAAATGAATTAAATGGTTTTGAGTCATTCTGTCACATTTTCACACATGAAATCTCGCTCAGTCCACTTTGTGTTTTAGGTGCAGCTACGGATATTCAGGTGTGCTTTTAAAGTAAAAACCTTTCAGATTGTTTCTTGTTTTTGTGACTAAAAGACACGTTTTTTTAAACGCCGTTCCCGGTTGAATCAGAAGTGACTTATTTTATCTAAATGTCTCGATGTTTGCTCATCTTTTGTTGACGGTTGAATCTCAGACAGACGGAGAAATGAGTCAGGCCGCCTCGTCCCCGGCTTTCAGTCGAGTGTTTCTCAGCGCGTAGTTTGTCTCTTTGCGGTTGGATCGCCGCTGAATGAAACCTCTGAGAAGAAAACTCGCAGGTTTCACCCAGACTTCCTGATTCGAACCGATTTGGAAATGTTTCGCGTCTGTTCAGTGGTGAGAAAAAGCAAATTAAAAAAAAAAGAAAGAAAAGAAACCCCTCAGAGATAGGGTCAGGATGTGAACTCAACTTGCAGCTGAAGTCTCATGAATATATTTGCAAAAAAAAAAAATAAATCAGTTATTTACAGTTTACGTAAAACACAAACAGCCACTCGTTTGATCCTGTTTTTACTTRCAGATGAAAAGGAAGGGGAAGTGTTTTGTCATGATTTGCAGCTTTGTGTTGCCTCATTTTTGAACTTGTGTATGAAGAGTGGGTTCTGGTTTTGTTATGTAACGGTTAGTGATGTTTCTGCAGAGGATGATGAGTCACCAGGTTTTTTAAAAAGCTGTCAGAGGAGGAAGATGGACAAAGATAATGCAGTTGTTTTATTTTCAGACACATTCCTATGTTTTATGTTAATCATCTAATTGCTCCTTTCTTTATGTGATTGTTGTTTTGATATTTGTTGTTTTGTTTCTGTCGTGTTTATTTATTAAATCYCTAATAAACGGTTATTTTTGTTTGGTATTCAGGACTCTATAAACGCTCTGGTCCTGGACTTGGACTACCCGGCTCTACGCAAGAATAAAAACATTGACACCTTTATAAACAGATGTGAGTTGGTGATTTAAAAACAAACTAGAATTTAATGAACACACGAGTTTTATTGACTTATTTTAATTTTTTTTATCTTTTAGATGAGAAAGTGGTCGGGAGCCTGCGAGACCTTCAGATGAAGTCTGAGGACTTTGAAAAAGTTAAAATTATCGGTCGAGGAGCTTTTGGTGAAGTCCAACTGGTGAGTAGAGGAAGAAAAAAACAGCTTTATTTTGTTTACGCATGTTAAATATGAGGATTTGCATCAAACAACTATAAACGTTTGGAAAGTTCTTAACAGTGTGTGGGCTGACGCACACATACTTGTTCCACTTCCTGGTTTAGCTGGAGCTGTAGTGAATGTTGTTTCACTCGGGGGATAAATGTGACGTCAAAGCAGAAMCTCTCTAGACTGAATTGTTTACATAAAAAAAGCTCTTTTTATGTTGCGGTATATGTAACTTCAGCTGATTTAGGAGAAGTTATTTTGTTTTCAGTTTGTCAGTTAACGGCCGCCAGGTGATGGGGGGAAAAAAAGAGGGTAACGAGCTTTATAGAGGCAGGCATTAATTATTAGTTTGTTTTAACCAGTCATTTTAGCTTAAAAACATTCACTGTTAAAGCAGTGGTCCTGCATGTTTTAGTCCATCCTAAAGAATCGTTTCTCTTTCCCAACCCTTCAGGTTCGACACAAAGCCTCGCAGAAAGTCTACGCCTTGAAGCTGCTCAGCAAGTTCGAGATGATCAAGCGCTCCGACTCCGCGTTCTTCTGGGAGGAGAGGGACATCATGGCGTTCGCCAACAGTCCCTGGGTCGTGCAGGTGTGTTTTTTTGTTTGTTTCAATGACAAAACGCAGATCAGTGTTTTTATTCACCGCAGCCTCGTTTGTGCGTTTAGTTGTGCTGTGCCTTCCAAGACGAGCACTACCTCTACATGGTGATGGAGTACATGCCTGGAGGGGACCTGGTCAACCTCACCAGCACCTACGACGTGCCGGAAAAATGGGCCAAGTTCTACGCAGCCGAGGTGGTGATGGCTCTGGACTCCATTCACTCCATGGGCTTCATTCACCGGGACGTCAAACCAGACAACATGCTGCTGGACCGACACGGACACCTGAAGCTGGCTGACTTCGGCACCTGCATGAAAATGGACTCTGTGAGTCAAATGAGATGTTTTCATTTAGAGGTTTGAAGACCTTCTGTAGAGCTGCTCTGAGGGTTTTTAGGAGTTACGTCTTGATTTAGGAACAAACTTTGCAGTGATGGAGGAAGAATTTGGACACGATTAGTAAAATTCTAATTTACATTAAAAAAAGAAAAGAAAAAAGTCTCTCCTGTWATGGTACACGTTACAACACGGGGTTTCTTCCCTCAGGAGTCTACACTGTGTAAAAAAACAAACAAAAAAAACAAAAACTCTGTTATCAGCTGTTATTTTGTCCATAATTATGTCCCGGTTAAAGCACCGATTYTTCTATTTCTTATCTTAATAATGTTTATGAAGCAAATTATAATTTACGATAAGTGACTCCCTCCAGACAACCGTGTTGTTTTATTTATTTATTTTTTCTGCTGACACATTCCTCTGTGCACAATGTCTGTTTTATCTCCATCCATGAGTTTTTGTTCATCAGACTCTTAATAAATGTCTGCTTCCGGTTACTTTTGTTGGATTTTGCAGCGTTATCGCTGTCGACATAAACTAACACGCCACAAACTTCAGACCAATCACAGAATAATTTGCGGAGGTGGAAAAACTAAATGAAGCAATTGTCTTCATGAAACTGCAACAGTAGCTACGTTTACATGGACACAAGTAATCAGATTAAACGGCCATTCTGAATAAAAATGCGTCATGCAAACGTCCACATTTGAATTATTCTGACCTGATTCAGCTCGATCCAAATGAATTTGTAATCAGAACGAGAGAGGTGTTTTATGCTGATTGATAATCTGAACAACGTGCATGTAAACACTTAATCTGATCACCTTATTCTGGCTGGAAAACTGACCTGACTGTGCATGTCTGCTGACTTCCTTCCATCGGTTTCTGCAGAAACCGATGGAAGGAAGTCAGCAGACATGCACAGTCAGGTCAGTTGTGGAGGGAGGGACAGCAGCTCTGTTTCCAGCAGCACAGAACTTTTCCTCCTGTTCTCTCATTCAGTAAAAAAGGATGACAAACAGCTTGTGCTGCTTCGCAAAAAATAAAAAAATCTGTGCATCACCTGCAGCTCAAGTTTTTTTTAKGGAAAGTTAACAACTGTGCATGTCAGTGCTTCTATTCCGAATAAAAGCCTGGTGCTTGTAAACATTTGTCATGATCAGATTGTGCCCATGTAAACGATACATTTGGAGAATTTAATCCGAATACATTTCAATCTGATCTGCACATGTAAACAWAGCTACTGAGAACCAATTTTTAGCGGTTTAGATGAATGTGGAGGCCTTAACCCTACCCATTTTCTCCCTCTTAGACTGTTGAAGCTGATGGTTTAATATTGGATTTGCTGTGACTTTGATGCCTTTTATTGTTGCAGACAGGGATGGTGCACTGTGACACGGCCGTGGGCACTCCAGACTACATCTCCCCGGAGGTGCTGAAGTCTCAGGGAGGAGACGGCTACTACGGGAGGGAATGCGACTGGTGGTCTGTGGGCGTCTTCATTTTTGAGATGCTCGTGGGTCAGTAAACACTTCATAAAGGCTTCTGTTTGAACGGTTGGAATGAATAATTAAATGATTATTTTTCCCCCCTCCTCGTCTCTCAGGTGACACTCCGTTCTACGCCGACTCTCTGGTGGGAACCTACAGTAAGATCATGGACCACAAGAACTCCCTGAACTTCCCCGACGATGTGGAGATCTCCAAAGAGGCCAAAAGTATCATCTGTGCTTTCCTGACAGACAGGTAAAAACAGCAAGAGTTGAAAAAGGTTTTATTTTTMTTTTTATTTGGCGAGAAGATTCAGACGGCTGCTGTTTTTGTTTTGAGGGACGTGCGATTGGGGAGAAACGGTGTGGAGGAAATCAAACGGCACCCTTTCTTCAAAAACGACCAGTGGACCTTCGACACCATCAGAGACAGTCAGTAACACAAAACCAGTTTTTAATGTTTCATCTGTCAACAGAGAGTTCGTTCTGTCAGCGTGACAAAACAGAAAGCTTTAAAGATTCCCTCCTTCCSTCAGCGGCGGCTCCTGTGGTCCCCGAGCTGAGCAGCGACATCGACACCAGTAACTTTGACGAGATCGAAGATGACAAAGGCGACGTGGAAACGTTCCCCACACCTAAGGCTTTTGTTGGAAATCAGTTACCGTTTGTTGGCTTCACCTACTTCAAAGAAGACCAGTAAATCCTCCTCTTCTCCTCCCGTCTCTAAACACATTAAAACCCTGTGCAGATCTGCTGTTTCCACACGGGTTAACGAGTTGTTTTCTGTTCTGTAGGTTACTGAGCTCTGCCAACAACTCCTCAGTGGCACATGATAATTCAAAAGGAGAGGTAAATACCTGGAGCTTAAGTGTCACTACATTTTGCTTCAATGCTAAAGTTTAGGCAATTAAAAAAAACAGTTTTTATCAGTGCTGCCTCTTGAACAGCAAATAAAATATCTGCTTTACACCAAAAACTACGACAAAAAATGGTAAAGTTGAACATGTGTGGTTTGTGTGTAAGGCACTTGTCTGGTTAAAAAGAACGTAGCAGAACAGTTTGACTTCTGGAACATCGTTCTTTGGACAAAARTAGAGATATATCAGACAGTGCCATGTTCAGAGGAAATCAAACGCAGAAAATCAGCATAAACGCCTCTTTCCAGCTGTTAAACATGGTGTAGAGGTGAGGATTTGGCCTCCAAAGGACCCGGGCTCATTTCATTGATTATTAAGTTTTGGATCAGGATTAAGCGGTATTGATCTTTTCATACTGACATATTTATCTTTTGATAATACTCTGGTACAGGTATTACCCAGGCAGGGTGGGAAAGGGGCAGGCCGTGTTGTTGCTTTCTCCCACTCTTGCCGCCAAACTTCATTTAATTTTTGCATCTTTTTATTTTCTTCTTCCTGTAGACTTTTGGGCACTTGTCAAATAACTTTGGGCCTCGGTCAGAAAGTGGGGTGGGAATTCGGCTCGGCTCACGAGGAGGAGGAGACTGATGGCAGATTAAGCTGGATTTTTTTTTCATGAGTTTCATGAGTTTTTTCATGAATACTGTTTCCTGCTGCCTGCCGCTGCAACGTACATCACATAAGACGATCATGTCCAGAAAAATAAGTGGCATGTAATATTTATATTTGGTTTTATTTGACGTATCAACACTATTTAAAACCATTGTGTAGTTTGAAGTCTCTTTTTTACAAAATCTGACAGTCTCAAAAAAGGTGAATCTTACTGGGGACGGTTTTTAAACACCGTCACCATATTTCTATATCAAGAGAAACCACAACACTGTCGTATCACCCAAGTCTATTTTGAATTGAACCGGATGATTTATTTGTTATGTCCTGATATAAAAAAAAAACAGCATTAAGGACCAAAAGAAAACCCACTTTCTTCACCAGAACAATAACAGCAGCAGCCAGGTCCCGGTTGTTTGACAACACTTGTTGGTTTACGCAGCCACACAGGTCCCTGCTGTAATCCACTTGGATTATAATGAAAATGACTCAGAAGAGGGATTTTTGTCCCCTGATCCTGATTTATTTRTACTTTGTTAGAGTTTAAATGTTAGTAGCTGCATTAAACAGCTTTTATGAAGATTGGCTGAGCTAAATGCTAATCTGAATCTATCCATCAAGAATATGATGAGTTTTATTTACTTTGTTACTTGGTAAAATAAACAGTGATGTGTTTTAACTCTTTGACTTTTAGTTGAGTCAAATTTGGCAAATATCAACTTTAATTCAAGACCATCATCGTTTCAAGTTTTTGCTTTTTTTCAGTCTGCAGCTCTTCTGAAGAAACTTCACAACCTGGAGATCCAGATGAGTAATGACAAGCTGGTCAAAGATGATCTGGACAACAAATACAGGTATAAAAACAGCAAGAATGCAGTTAAAATGTGCAGCAGCTTGAACTTTTATTAATGTTTTCTTTGTATTTAAACTTCACTCTCTGCAGAGCTGCCACCATTCGTTTAGAAAAAATAACCAAAGAACTTGAAGAAGAGGCAAGTTTGTGACAAAATTAAAAATATTACACAGCATTTCTGTTAAAGCGATAAATGTTAAATGTTTACTTCGGCGGGCGTTCAGGGGAGCAGCAGGAAGAACCTGGAGTCCAGTCTGAGGCAGCTGGAGAGAGAAAAGGCTCTGCTGCAGCACAAGAGCCTGGAGATCCACCGAAAGGCCGAGAACGAGGCCGACAGGAAGCGCTGCCTGGAGAATGAAGGTACCAAACACACTCTGCGTACCCTGGAGGTTTAAATCACTTGTTTATTTATTTTTTGTTGTCTTGTTGTTTAGAAATAATTTAAAACATTAAAATAATCTGGGTTACACTGCCATCACCTGGTCAGAGTGTGAAACTGCACGAAAACTGTTTCTCAAACTCAAAAGGTTCATATTTTTAAAAGATTTGAGACATCTAGTGCTTTGTATCCCTTATGGTATTCAGAAAAATTTATTTAAAATAAAAWAAAAAATCTGTTTTTCTTTTTTCTGCAGTGAACAGCCTTCGAGACCAGCTGGACGACATGAAGAAAAGAAACCAAAATTCACACATTTCCAACGAGAAGAACATCCAGCTGCAGAAACAGGTCTGTTAATGTTATTTACATGTTACACTTTTCTTTGGCCTGTTTAAGGATCAAATTCAGCTCTTTTAAGAGAAGCTTTTCAGTTTTAGCTTGAATAAAACGTCAAACAGTCAGTGAGCTAATTCTTAATTTATCAGACTTGGACAATCATGCTAAATGAATTGAAGGTGTTTGATGCCCTTTTTTAGATTAGACACATCTTCATCAAGTATTTTATAAATTTCGTAGTTTAAAGTTGCAGCTTTCCCAGTCTGAGGCCAAAACATGTCCCCAAACGTCCTCGTGAATGAGTTTTTAAAGATGGCTGTCCCGTCAGCTGGAGGAAGCCAACACGCTGCTGCGGGCCGAGTCCGAAGCGGCAACGAGGCTCCGCAAAGCTCAGACGGAGGGCAGCAAGCAGCTGCAGCAGCTGGAGGCCAACGTGCGCGAGCTGCAGGACAAGTGCTGCCTGCTGGAGCGCAGCAAGCTGAGCCTGGAGAAGGAGTGCATCAGCCTGCAGGCGGCGCTGGAGTCCGAGAGGAGGGAGCACAGCCAGGGCTCGGAAACCATCAGCGACCTGATGGGTGCGTGAAACACACACACACACACAAATACACACCGAGGCTGCTTAACGACACAATCACTGAGGGCCGCCAATGTTCACTGTTGATTGTAAAATCACAACTCTTCAAACAGACACAGGTGACTTCAGAGGTGAGAAATAATCTGGTGGTTCTGTTCAGATTTTAGACGGGTTTACAAACTTCTGAGGTTTTACAGACAAGACTGAAGCTTCCTCTTCCAGTCACAGTGAATAATCTAACGGCTAGGCCAATAGATTAGTCATAATCCAACTGAACTGGCGTCTAAGCTGCCATATAAAGTCTTGTATTTGATTGTGGTAAACCACGAAGCCACAATCTGGTTCCTGCTGTCAAACTGCAGCAGTTATTCTTCAGATTAACAAGACAAAGAGCAGAACCCACTGGGATTAAAACTGCTCTAAAGCAACAGAAATATTGAATTATATTAATGTTATATTTGGTTATTTGAACAACTGAAACTTTTTGTGTTTAAAAAAGTTGTATAGAAAAATAGTTTTCAGGAGTTTTTGAGTTTTTTTTCTGCTCATTTTTTAGTTTGTTGATTTTTAAAAGGATATTTGTGTTTGTTATAATAAGTAATGTCTGAAACGTTAACGTATCTCAATGTCTTTTGATGGATATTAATAATTGAATCAATTAAACAGTCTTTATAAGTGATCTCTTTAAGAAATAAAGAATAAATTAGTTTTCTTTACACTGTAGGGTTTTTGTGTTTGTTTGGTGGAATATTCCTCTCTTGAGTCGTCTTGTCTTTTTGTTTTTTCAGGACGTATTTCTGGTTTGGAGGAGGAGGCCCGCCTGCAGAAACAGGTTCTGTCCAAAGCTGAAGCTGAGAAGCGGCAGCTCCAGGAGAAACTCACTGATCTGGAAAAGGTATATCAGAAAAGACTCGACCCAAATGTTTCTAAACCCCAATCGAGTAGAATTTAAAGAATGAAAATCACACGGACCGTCTTAGATTTAACTGGTGAACACATACAGTAAAACCTTTAAAATGATCCTAATTTTTTGTCCTCACCTCTGGTTTCGTTTCCTGTCTGCACAGGAAATGAGCAACAAGGAGATCGACATGACCTACAAGCTGAAGGTCCTGCAGCAGGAGCTGGAGCAGGAAGGGGCCTCTCATAAAGCCACCAGAGCTCTGCTGGCAGACAAGAGCAAGATCAAAGTGACCATCGAAGGCGCCAAGTCAGAATCCATGAAGGGTGAGGCCGGCTTCATTTAGAAACAGAAAAGGCGAACAAAGCGAAACAAAACGGTCGTATTTGTGTTTGATCTCTCGTTTTAACTGAATCTGCTCCAAGCAGAGATGGAGCAGAAGCTGGCAGAGGAGCGAGCGGCCAAACTGCGTCTGGAGAACAGAATCCTGGAGCTGGAGAAGCACAGCAGCATGATGGACTGCGACTACAAGCAGGCCTTGCAGAAACTGGACGAGCTGCGGCGACACAAGGACCGGCTCACCGAGGAGGTGAGGAGGGCTCCCCGAGTGGATCTCAAATTAAAGTTCACCTCTGCTCACACCCACCGTCCTCCGTGTCCCACCCGTGTTTCTCAGGTGAAGAACCTGACGCTGAAGATCGAGCAGGAGGCSCAGAAGCGCAGCCTGACCCTGAACGACCTGAAGGCCCAGAACCAGCAGCTCAACAGCCTGAGAACCTCCGAGAAGCAGCTGAAACAGGAAACCAATCACCTGCTGGACATCAAACGCAGCTTAGAGAAGCAGAACCAGGAGCTGCGCAAGTCTGTTCAGCTCTCCTCTCAACCTGTTTGGTCAGATTTTTACAGATAATTAATGATTCTCCTGCTGTTTTCGCCTCCAGAGAACGACAAGACACAGATGGACAAATGAAGGAGTTACAGGACCAGCTGGAGGCCGAACAGTATTTCTCTGTGAGTCAGATAAATGTAGTATGTTTATAAAGAACTGCATTTATTTCTGCTACTAATGCATGTTCTAAATATTAAAATGAGTTTAAAAATAAACATTTTTTATTTGATAAAATAAACACCTTTATTGTATTTAAGTGCAGGAAGGTTTGATAATTCACTAGGGCTGTGCAGTATATGTGATAGACGGTAGAAACAATATGAAGTTGGCCTACGGTACAAATTGACCCTCTACCATCCTGTCGTCAGTTACATCATCACACCTGTGTCAACAGGGCTGCGAGTGCGGAGACAACTGAGCAGGAGGAGTTTGAAATATAATGAAAATAAATGAAGAAATATAGTGTTTTAAAACACATTGAGAGAATAAATCATCTAAATTCCCCCTCCCGCTGCACGTCATGCGAGCAAAGCTTTAACAACCGTAGTTTTTTCACACCCAAGTTGTCGGAGAAAAAACTTGTTTTTTTATGTATTGTTACCCACAGAGATGATAAAAAAAGATGTGGACGTTCGTTCAGTCATAAAACCATCTTGCTAATGTAACTAGTGTAGTGTAGTGAGAGCGCAGCAGAGCAGCAGCTGATAGTTCAGCAGGCAGAAGCTCATTGTATGGCAGGCAGATATTAATTTATTTGGCTTCACCACACTTACATTCCAGTTATCTGAAATAGTTTTATGACAGGACTGTGTGCAGCTTAAGCCCCTTAAGGTCCCGTCACACTAACATTTTAGGCAATTTATGACAACTTAGAATTGATTTTTATGTCTAAAAGACTAATTTTATTGAAGTACTGGTTATAACATCCACTTTATTTTGATGTTGAAAAGTTGAGAAATGTTTTTGTTGTTGAAACCGTTTTGAACATTAATCTTTTGTACTTCTGTTCATTTGCTGTACAGCAAAGACACTGGGTTTGTTATGATTACAGTTTTCTGCAAAATAAATGCTCTAAAAATTACATTATCTTTGCTTTTTATGATAATTTTCTACAGAGAGATATACCGTTACCGTGAAGGGATTCAGTTTATACCCTGATATGAATTTGAGGTCATACCGCCCAGCCTTATAATTCACCTAGAAAAACCATGAAAAGTCTTTGATTTTTATTTAAGAACCATTTAAAACTGAGAGACAGTGTTACAGGCGTGATGCTCCTCCTTGATTGTTTCCTTTCTGAAAGCTGACATTTTAAATTTCACACCTCTTTTCTAGACTCTTTATAAGACACAGGTTCGGGAGCTAAAGGAGGAGTGTGAGGAGAAGAACAAGCTTTACAAAGACGTGCAGCAGTCTCTACAGGAGCTGCAGGAGGAGAGGTGGATTTACAGTCTAATAATGTAAATCATGTATTTGTTGTTTATTTGTGGTTAAATTCTGTTTCTATGGTTCCGTTCCAGAGATTCTCTGGCGGCGCAGCTGGAGATCACGCTGACGAAGGCCGACTCAGAGCAGCTGGCTCGCTCCATCGCGGAGGAGCAGTACTCGGACCTGGAGAAGGAGAAGATAATGAAGGAGCTGGAGCTGAAGGAGATGATGGCTCGCCACCGCCAGGAGCTCTCCGAGAAGGACATCACCATCAGCTCGGTGAGTTCCAGGAACACGTGTGTTCAGAYGACGGGCGTGGCGGACGTTACGATGGTGTGTTCTGTTTGCTGCGCAGCTGGAGGAGGCCAACAGGACCCTGACCAGCGACGTGGCTAACCTGGCCAACGAGAAGGAAGAACTGAACAACAAACTGAAGGAAGCACATGAAGGTCAATCAGAAGCTGTTAGAAATATAAAAATCCTCTGTTTTCAGGGTTTAATGTTTAGTTGTTGTTTTTTTCCAGAATCTGGGAAGTCGAAGGATTGGGAGCAGCAGATCAATCAGATGAAACAGATGTTTGAGAAGCAGCTGCAGTCGGAGAGGACCCTAAAAACTCAGGTAGGCTGTTCTGAAGAGTCCGTAGTCCRGTCGACACGGTTTTCTGTAGTTCTAAAGATGAATTTAACTGGTCCCGTCCGCAGGCTGTCAACAAGCTGGCGGAAATCATGAACAGGAAAGAGGTGCGAGGCGTCGGCGGAGGCAGCCGGCGCGGCAACGACACGGACATGCGGCGGAAGGAGAAGGAGAACAGGAAGCTGCAACTGGAGCTGAGGTCGGAGAAGGAGAAGCTCAACAGCTCCATGATCAAATACCAGAAGGAGATCAACGAGATGCAGGCGGTGAGCGGTCTGATGTTTCACCGTCTTCACCCCCGAGCTGCGTTTCTCCAAACTGACACGTTTTTTTTTTTAATCGCAGCAACTGGCAGAGGAGAGCCAGATGCGCATCGAGCTGCAGATGGCTCTGGACAGTAAGGACAGCGACATCGAGCAGCTGAGGAATCTCCTGCAGACGCTCAGTGTTCAGTCCATGGATTCTGCCAGCATGAGCAGCGGGCCTGAGTTTGATGCCGATGACGCGTACGCCGGTAAAAACGCTTTTGTCTTTGTTGTCGTTGGGATATTTGATGTGTAAAATATAATTTTTGGCAAATTTTTACTGCTCTGCATTGGTGGACACAGGTAACCAAAAGTTTAGGTTCACTAAACACTAATCTGCTAAACAAGAATCTTGGCTTCTCTAAAGCTAAACAGATTGATTAAAAAAAAAGTCGAGGAAGCTAACGCTAACTGCTAAGATGGTTAGAGGGACTGAATGAAATTTGTTAGTTTTCTCTTGGTTTATAGTTTGAAGGTGGGTGGGATCATCTGTGGCAAATTGTCCACTCCCAACCAGAGTTATATATCTGTCTAACGTTTAACACTTCCAGTTTAACCCTTTTAGAATAAAAAGCGTTTCTTTGATTGAGTTTGTATTTTTGTAAATAATGTTTGAACTTAGCCAAACAACTAATAGCAAATACTTTCTCTACCATATTTTATATGTATTCAATGTATTCCTTATTTAAATATTTTTAAATGTTATTTTTATTTTTGACGCTCGTAGTTTGGAGTTTAGCTGCTAAAGATGCTACATGCTAACACACCCTTGCCTGACACATCCAGCTCTGCTTGTATGAGGGGATAGTTTTTATTCAATTTGGGAAAAATTTCTTAAAATTAGATGTTTTACAGTTGTGAATATTGTAGTGGACTTAAAATTACCCAAACCTAATTTAGTGGAAGCTCATCGGTCTGCTAACGGTTAGCACAAAAAGCTAATCTGTAAATGAGCAGCTAGTTTTGCTATTAGCAGATTAGCAGAACTGTGTTCAGTGCTGCTCTGACTCAAGATACACCTGGTTTATGTGAAATCGAACATTTATGTGGTTGCAAAAATACAATAATTCAAGCCTTTTCTAAATCTTGAACTCTTTCCACATCATCACTCAGAAACCAGACTCGAGGGTTGGCTCTCTCTTCCCGTCAGAAACAACACCAAGAAGTTTGGATGGGAGAAAAAGGTCTGAATTAAACAAAATTAATGCTTTATTTGGATATTTGTCTGATTTACCACTGATTCGTGTTCTGTTTCTGTAGTACGTTGTTGTTAGCAGCAAGAAGATCCTTTTCTACAACAGTGAACTAGACCGAGAGCAGTCCATTCCCTGCATGGTGCTCGACATAGAGTCAGTATAACACCTGCAAACTCATCATCCAACAGCAAATATAATGTTAGAAACTGGAGCTCTAAGATGGAAAATTTATTTCTGTGTCGCAGCAAACTTTTCCACGTGAGACCCGTTACTCAAACAGACGTGTACCGCGCCGACGCCAAGGAGATCCCCAGGATATTCCAGGTCAGTTCTTACTCGGATCTTTGATCACTCCTCTCGTAGACGATTCAAAAATCTGTAAACGACCACCGTCCCGCAGATTCTTTACGCCAACGAAGGCGAGAGCAAAAAGGAGCCCGAGTTTCCTGTGGAGCCGCTGTCCATCGGAGAGAAGTCCAGCTACATCTGCCACAAAGGCCACGAGTTCATCCCGACCATCTACCACTTCCCCACCAACTGCGAGGCGTGCACCAAGCCCCTGTGGAACATGTTCAAGCCGCCGCCGGCTCTGGAGTGCCGGCGCTGCCACATCAAGTGCCACAAGGACCACATGGACAAGAAGGAGGAGATCATCGCTCCCTGCAAAGGTACGCTGCTCCAACGCTCTGCGTGCTTTTTTTTTTTTAAATCCTCGAGGTTGTTAAAAAAAAAAACAAAAAAACTCCTCTTCTCTTTGACCTGCAGTGAACTACGACATATCAGCAGCCAAGAACCTGCTGCTGTTGGCCACCTCCCAGGAGGAGCAGCAGAAGTGGGTTAGCCGGCTGGTGAAGAAGATCCCCAAGAAGCCCCCGACGCCGGAGCAGTTCGGACGCTCCTCGCCCCGCGCCTCCATGAAGGTTCAGTCCAGCCAGTCCTTGAAAAGGCCCAGCCGACAGCTCCCACCCAGCAAGACCAGGTAGAGAAAAAGTCCAACGCCGACGGTTTTCTGTTCTGGTTTTGTGGTTAAAATGTAAAAGTTTGTGTTTCGTACAAATGAAATGAAAATGACTGTCAGATATTATAAGTAATAATAAAACTATCAGAAGTGATTTCCTCCTTTCAGAGGGGAGGAGCTCAGTCTCCAGGACTGGCTCTGGGCTCTGGATGATGATGATGATGATATCGATGATGATTGTGCCTCGATACATTTCAGACGGTAACACCTGTGTGCCGTGAAAAAYGTTCAAACATTACCTTTCTTTACCTGGTGGTGAGAGTTAGAGACGTGATTTTAAATGATTCACTGATCTGAGTCGTAGCTCTTACAAAAACTAACTCACCACCATGAAGTTATAAACTTTTTCCCAAGAGTCTTGGTTCTTTGCTGAAAGCGTGCCGTTTTTTTTCTCTTTTTAGTTGAAGTGAAACTTTCAACGAGTCTCTGTTTTTAGCAAAGAGCCTTTTTCTCCTTATTTTTGACTTCTTTTATCAATCTTTTACAGCCTGATCATCTGAAATACGTAATTTATGCTACTTTTTCAATGTTTTTGGTCTGTTTTGTGCCTGGTCTGCTGTGATTCCTCTCTACGTTTGTTTTTATTTACCTGCCGGTCACTTGTGTTTACTCCCTCGCTGCGTGCTCCAGCCCTCGCAGATCGAACGGCTTCAGAACGAGGCGAGAAGAGTCCAGCAGCACCTGGTACCAGTGACGCCTCCTCATGTTTCTCCTGTAATCAGCTGACTTCCTGAATGTGTTTGTCTGGTTTGTTGTCACTCAGAGGTGATGTCGGCCCACATGGACGTGGTTTTTAAAGACATTTGGCATCTTTCAGTGTCGGTTGAGCTCACTTTGTCACCGGGTGTCTGATAAATGAATTTTTGAGATGTACGGAATTGAACTTGTTGGTTTAATATCCTGAGAACTTCACGTGTTTTCATTTAATAGGAGCGAAATTTATGCTGCGCAAAAATAATATTAAATGTTTACATCTGGTTCTGTTTGGATATCAGTTACACCTCAAAGCAAAACATTTCGTTATTCAAAAATGATGGCTCCGCCCCTTTTTTGGAGTCGAGCAAAAAAATCCTAACTTGTAGGAAAAACAACTGAACTGTTTGGTGATTTAACAATCATTAAATAAAACTATAAATGTGTTCTGAAGCTTTAGATGCTGGACTCATTTTACCTTTCAGATTATATTATGGAAAATTAAAGCAGAATAACAGATTTCTGGTGTTGTTAAAAATCCTTAAGAAATTTGATCAGATTTATGAATATCTGCTGCTGTTAAAGGTTAACATTAATTAACATTATGTTAACATTTATGTTGTAGAGGATGAAGACTGCTAAGAAAACATTCAAAATACATATAATATACACTAAACTTTATAAAAAATATGGCATATTTTGCAATTTCCTTGTATTTTACATAACATTTTTTGTATTTAAAATATAGAAAATATTTTAGCCATTTTTATTTGTAATTTTTAAAAATTTACTTTTCTTTGATTTTCTATTCAGTTGTATTAATGCTTTAATTAATTCCACAAAACACAAAAACGATATCATTAAACGAAAAGGAGCAGAAATTATTTAATTATTTGTTACAAATAGGTTGGACCTACAATGAAAAAAAAAACCTATTTGATTTATATTTAAGTTAATCCTCCACATGCAGCAATCCTCATTCAGCAGATTTATTTCTAATGTTTTTAATTTTACTGTGATGCTTCTTTTAGATGTTTTATTTGTTTAGAGTGAAATCACAGCAAACTAATTACATAATTATGCTAAATAGCAGCTTTTACTGAGGATTAAGCAGCTAGAAGTGTCTCAGATGTTATTGAAGGTAATTGATGACTTCCACATAATTGACCTGCTTGTGATGCAGAGACAGATGTTCACGACGTACTGCGTTTTAATCCTCCCTGCAGATTTGAACAAATTTATTATTTACTTTTCAAACGTCGACACAAGTTTAAGACACGCTATCGTTCCTTTTTATAATTTATCACCTGCTTGTTTTCACCGAAAATTAGGTTTTTATTTTGAGTAAAAGAAGGTGAAATGATTTTTTTATACTTGTTTTTTTTTCTTCTCCTTCAGTTAACCTCGCTCTGGGAGCGCGATGCGTCTCTGAGGGTTTTGTGGTCCGTTTCCTCCGAAGCTTCGTCTGCAGATCAGCACGCCGAGCTCCTCGTCACTTCACACCGTCTCCAGCCTGCGAGAGTCACGTTCGTTCCCCTCGTCATTCTTCAGCCACATTCTCGTCTGCGAGCMAATTAGCTCCTAAAACGGTTCGGCCAAACTTTTTTTTTTCCTGCTTCTGTGAYGCTAAAGGAGCTAGTTCTGATTTGAAAGAGGAGAGCTTGGCGATGAGGGGGCGGGGTCCACTTTACCTCAACGATTCTCACCTGGACGAGCCGAGCAGCAAATCTCTGAGGATTATCGCGGCCAAAAACAGACTTTTTAATGATTGTGAACAATAAGAAGGGTTTAACGGGGAACACTACGCTCAGATTTTAGTTTTGTTGGATCCTGGATGGCGTTTTGTCATGATTGTAGCTTCTCGCTCTCCTCAGCCTCTGCTTTCGAGTGATTCCCCAAAAGGTACAACGTCTGGAGGATTCACCGAGGCGGAGGGTGGAGAGTCGGAGCAAATAATTCCCAGAGTGCCTGTCGTTCAGATTCCTGATCACTCGTTTTTATTCACAGTTAACGGTAAAAAACGGATGATCCTTCAAACCTGCACTGTCGTTTCTAAAAGGGTTAATGTTTACTGAACTGCACTGTTGATGCTTTTCTGATCTGAGCTCCTTTTTGTTTTGTTGACACTTGGTTATTATCAGAAACAACTTATAGTTTTTTTTTTTTWATCACCAAACTACTCTGAGTGAACTTGCATGAATTTATTTTGTGTTTTCGTTTTCCAGGCCTCCACTCATTAGTTTTTAGACTGCAGTGGCTAAAATAAAAAGCAGAAAACGGCGAGGGGATGCAATCAGATCCTGGTCCTACGAGACAAAATACTGAGCAGCACTAGTCCAATGAAAGTTTTCTAAAAGTATTTGTGATATTTTTGTATTAAAAGTAACCAAACTTGGACACGTTGTTGTGTGTGTGTGTGTGTGGCTTATATAGGAAGATGGAGAGAAACTGTGAGAGTGAGAGTGTGTGTGTGAGTGCGTGCTCTCCTTTAACCAAGAAGCATGTTTTATACATATAAATATCCACAGTATATATTTGACATGCCATACAGTGCACATTATATTATTTATACAGCATTGTCCACTTTGTATTTAAGGGCTTTACATCCAGATTGCATGTTTGCTACCAAACTGCTCTAAGATGATGATGATGATGATGACCACTTCAACAATAAACGCGTGGATGTGCCTTTTGGACTCAGATTGTTTTATTATTTTTTTTAAAGAAAAGTCTAGTTTCACACCATAAATGGTAAAACACTTGGTTTATTCAAGATTTTAAAATTTGCTCGAGTATAAAATGGAATACAAATACAGATTTTTTTTTTGTCATCCTGAGTGGGAAGATCTGGGATATTCTTGGCTCGTTTGAAAAAAAAAACAAATCTATAAAATACCAAAAGGAATCTTTGGTCGGATTGAAACAACCGGAATGTTAAAGTGTTTTGTGTCGGAACCGCCGTCGGTCCGTTCAGTTACTTCCTGTCTGCGTTAGTCGTCTTTCTTGGAGCTGCCGGCGTTCCGTCGCTGGTAGTAGATGACCGTGAGCAGAACCCACAGGTTCAGCAGCGTCATCRCGACGAACCGCACCAGAACTGTGAGAAACGGACAGAAACACACTTCTGCAATTATAACGGTTATTAAAGAACCTGGAAGTTAACTTGTTTTGTTTTTAAAACATTGTTTTAAACCAGACTTTTCAGTRGTTTTTCATGCTTTAATTCAGCAAAAACACTCAAACTTTGTTCTGGTCACTTTAGAAAAGCCTCAAACTGTAAAGTAAAACTGATCAATTTAAAAATCATTTTAGCCATTTTCACAAGGATTCARTTCAATTTAAAAAAATATTCATTTCATTAAAAAACAAAATAAACATACAATGGAAAACAGAGAAAATACACAAATCAAAAAGTTAAATGAAAGGTTGCAGAAATCTTGTCTGCCCCTTTTATCCCCAGAATATATTCAAACAAAACATATTTTACAAAACAATACTAAATAAACATAAAAACATCAACAATTCATATAGCTTCGCATTTTACTTTTCCATGTACCTCAAGGAAGTACAAAAATATGGTATCACAAATATTTCCATCCCCTTAAGATAACTGTCTCAACAAAATTCACCTGAATGTTGGAAGGTGATATGTTTCTGTGAGCCTTGTGCATAAACAGTAAATTATAATCAACCAAGGAGGTTTCCCTTCAGCGAACACCAGAACTCTACGACACGACTACGATGGATGGAAGACGTTTAGAGACCAAACCTTTGAAATGTTTAAAGACTTTTATTAAATATTTCTGTCTGGGGACATCCAACCGTTTGTCGTTTTACTCACCCTGCATGTCTCCAGTTGTCACCATGGTGGTGTAAATCCGAGCTGGAACAAAGGGAAAACTGAGGTAATGACGAGCTCATTATCCCACACAGCATCTGGTGTTTTAATTAATGAAGTGTTGAATTGTTAATTTGTTCAGCGAGAAGCAAACTGAATGGATTCTGGCTCATCTGTGAACGGAAGGCGATTTGAAGGAGGAGGATTTGTGAAAACTGCTGAGACGTAGCTTGAATAATCTGAATACTTGTTTTTGACCTTTACTAATGTTGAATACAGTTTGTATATAATTCATGTCACCAAATTTTAGCTCAACATCCGTAAAACCGATCAATTAAGGGTTATTTTTTTAGTGTTAGGCGGTGATAAAAGTTTAAAATACCCCTCAAATACTCACCTGTACAGGTGTAGGAGGCCAGGGCCCAGGAGAGGGCGCTCACCTGTCCGGCGTCTTTAGAGCTCCAGAGACACTGCAGCTGTGCAAACTTACTGGCGGCGCTGATGAACGTGCACAGGCTCTGAGGACAAAAGGTCAGATTCTTTCAGGTAAGAGGTTGATCTGTGCAAGCTGAAGTTTAAAAGTGTCAGCATGCATATCATTTAAACACAAAAAGCAAAAAGAAAACATCTTTATATTTAAGAAACAAACAGGGTTTTACTCATTTTGACACATAACTGGTATACACTCACCGGCCACTTTATTAGGTACACCTGTCCAACTGCTCGTTAACACTTAATTTCTAATCAGCCAATCAC